CATCATATTAATACTACTCTACAGGACATTCCTAACCTGCTGCATCACTTATGGACCTATCTGTACTATATGATCAGCTAGAACTTGGTAGGGTCCATCTCTAACCCGGACTGAGTTGATGCACCTCTGAAAGTCCCACTCTAACTTCAGTTCTAGCATATTTATAAAGGTACATCATATTAATACTACTCTACAGGACATTCCTAACCTGCTGCATCACTTATGGACCTATCTGTACTATATGATCAGCTAGAACTTGGTAGGATCTCTAACTCGGACTGAGTTGGTGCACCTCTGAAGGTCCCACTCTAACCTCCCACCTCTAACTTCAGTTCTGTTATATTTATGAAGGTACAGGACATCCCTAGCCTACTATAACACTTGACTCCCTCCGATGTCAACATCCCCACGTCCAAATATCCTCAACTCACCTATCCGTCGTTTACGTGCTAACATCACTCCCTTCCGTATCTGATTGGAACAAGAAACGATAGAAGATAGACGCGACAATTGCGCCACCCAAGGGACCTAACCAATAGATCCAATGGTGTTCCCAAGAGCCGTTCCAGATTGCGGGACTAAGCGATCTTGCGGGGTTCATACTGCAGCCCGTATAAGGGATGAGTATCATACAGAGCACCGCGATGCAGAAGCCAAATCTGAGACTGATCGAGTCGGTGTTCTTCGCGTTACGATTGTCCCAGACTCCACAGGCGAACAGAACCAAGATGGCGGTTCCTATGAACTCCGCCATGAAGGCTCGGAAGACGGAAAGCTCCGGATGGATCCTGGTCACGCAGAAGGTTTCCGTTTCGTCTTTGACAGCGTACGTCAGCGGCCCAGGTGTGATTACCTACAGTCAAAATCATCCTTTTTGAATGAAATCCAGAGTAAATTCGGAAGAGTATGGCAACCATGGTTTACCTTTAACAAACCGTATCCTAAAAGCGCCCCCACGCACTGACAACAAATATACAGCAAAGACATGGGTAGCGACTTCTTCCCCAAAATCATCGCGGCGATAGTGATGCTAGGATTGATATGAGCGTCACTGATGTGCCCCGTACACTGCAAACAAAGCGTTTCGTGTGATCGGGCATAATTTAACCGTTAGCCTTCTGCTCGAGCGATGACCTCATCAGCAATTATAATCGGATGACTTTTTTAACATGAAAACACGAGGTCAAGCAGGGCCAGATGTTAAATCCTCGCTAGGTGACCTCGTTACCTGTATGGCGACCATGACGGCGAAGCCGAAGGTCAGGGAGATCTGTAAGACAGTGGGGGTGACATTTAAGCTCGCGATGCAGCCTGTGCATCCGATGAATACCAACAGCGCTGTGCCGATTATCTCTCCTAACCCGAACAACAGCGCCTCCCATCCAGTGGCATCCTCTTTTACCAAGTTTGTCAACCCTGGAAAAACAGTCGTTATAATTGTGGTTGGTGAACCTTCCACACCTAACGCTATGTACCCAGAGCCTACATGGAGTATCAGAAGTACCTGGGTATCTACTACTATCAAACATTTCCGCCAACATAATTTGTTATAAACCTTACGCTAACCGATGCAATTTTGTAATCGAAATGGACGCACAATTAGAGTAGTCATCGATAGTTGTGGTAGAAGTACAAGCCATGATCCGGGTTATGTCGAGCAACTTGAACGTAGTGTACGAACGTTGAAACTCGAAATTGAATGTACAAGGTGCTCGAAATATTTGAACTTACCTGTTCTTTACCTAAGTAAAATTATACCAACGGATAATGAAATACGAATCGTAGACTTCTCAGTGTAGTTCACGAACCACTTAACCAAAGGTGAAAGACCCTTAACATTCGAACGGCTGTGTAAAGGGTTCATCAGGCCACGTTAAAGGTCCCGTAATCGAGAGGCAGCCATCGATACAGCTGGCTCTCCGGGTTAAATTAGAATCCTCTTTGAGCACGGATGTCAAGGAAGGTGGTCATTCACAAAGAAAGAGGCTTAACGAGGGGACACCCGGTGAATGCATAATCGAGTGGAAGCCATAAGCCCGGGAAGGTGAATATTAGCGTAGCCGGTTTCGTTACCATTTGATATTCGACCCGTTTCCATGTAATAATATCGTGGCCGGGCACGTGGGAGATTTTCGTGGCATGGATCCACGCTCGATCGGCTGCAATTTTCTTAATTACATCGGGGCTCTCTCCGGTTCGGACTCATTAAGGTAACCATGAGTTCGTGCACGCTCGATCGATGCCGTTTCCGGATGGAATTGCCCTCGAAATTTCCACCCTCCCGTCTTTATTTCCTCCCCAACGGAACATCCAACCTTTTCCGCAAATTTCTTCGGTCACATTTCACGGTTTTATAGAAAAATGTGCGCGGTCGCTGCTCATTGCCGTCGGCTAATTTCAAGGGCCGATTGAGAATGTTTCTGTTCCACTTATCACGCGAATGCTAATCTCGGGTCGGTATTACGTATGCGCGCGCCAGGATTGATAAAGGGAGTATCAACGATGAAGAAATCAATAGCATAGGTCAAACGAGTGGCAACGTAACTGCTAAACGATCCGGATTAACTTCTGTCAGATATGTGGGACTTCCATTCATGTAGATAACCACTCCTTGTACCGTAATTTCTTTGATGACGATACTTGGCGCTTGTTAAAATGTATGACGACTGGAAAAATTTTTTAATGATACGCTATCTTCACATGCTACTCGTGGATTTCTGTCATGGACTGTTACTGAGATTTATAAGTTCTTAGATAGGTTATGAGACCTTAGTGGGACTCTTAGTTAGGACTGCAGGACCTAAGTTCTTAGCTTAGTGGGACTCTTAGTTAGG